TTAAGTAGAATTTATAAGTAAAACTGTTTATTTTAAGGCACAACTTAAAAAATTCGTAGAACGTTTCGAGATCTGGGGGAAAACAAATAAACTTATTAGACTTTAGTAAATACTTTATGTCAGCAATAATTCAACAATATTGACTATTATAATACCTCAGTACTAAAAGATGTCTATTCTTCAAGACTTTAGAATTTTATATAATAAAAGTTTTTATGTTGGATGCAGCCCTCATTTCTTGATAGTAAAATAAATAGGTTAATGTTGATTTTAATGTATACTTTCATTACAAAGATGCTACTATATCCATATTGATTGAAAATTGTATACTATAATTTTAGATTCTTTGCATTAAAAACAATTATTTATTCAGATATTACTGTTCTCAAAATATTATAAAAGAACCAATACATGTATTATGCTTAGCCAGTATCACCATGAATATGGACAGTGGTTTTTCAAACAATGTAGAAGACATATCTAGCAATGGTTTAACTGAAAATGACTAAAATGGAAATATTAACATTATATGGACTTACTGGGGTAATATGTTGACCAGTTACTTCTACAGTGTGATAATTTTTCACATTATATGTTAGACTTTAGACTCTCAGATGAACCACAGATGAACAAAGTTACTGGACTTGATTTGACTTGAAAACACCAAAAAATGCAAAATAAAATATATTAATCTGTGTGTTACAGTAGCAAATGGGCTCATCATTTACTTATAAAAGCCCACAACACTTAAACACATTCTGTTCAATAAAATAGCAGTTTCGTAATACTTCTCAATAGCTGCTCAAATTTGAAATTTAAATGCTTTGGTTTCACATCTAATGTTTTACGAATTTTTAAATATACCTAATTTGGGCTTAGTCCACTTTAAACAATCTGAACATTAAACCCACCAAACCTTAATTTAAATATGTTTCCTAATATATATTTTTAAAATAAAAACGATATTAATAGGAAAAAAAAAAAAAAAATTAAAAACATTTTTTGAAAAAAAAATAAATCAAAAACCGTCTATAGTGGTGTATAATATGCATCCCCTTTACCAACTACATTTTAGAGTAAGAAGTGCACATTATACACACCAAAATACGGTATATTTTTGTATAATCATAATTTTCTCTAACATATATTGACAAGAAAACATACCTGAAATTCTAACAATATATTTCATAAATATGAGGTATCAAGTTTTTAAGAGGCTTTAATTTACTTTGGTATATAGCCTTTGAGTAACTAATCACATCTTGACTAGAAAAGGCAAGCTATATATAATTATTGGTTTGTCTTTGCACAATCTTACTAAGGACAACATTTAATGTATTCACTGTTTCTCTGACTGAACCTTCATAAATTCTGCCAACTGGAATTTGTATTTTTGTTTTCTTCCATTTTTTCTGTAAAAATCTTTTTTCAGAAATTTCCCCAAACTATTGAAAGGTCATTCAGGGAACAGCAAACAAATATATTTTAAAATCTGGACTATACCTAACAACTGACTACACAGATGAATTATACAATACATGTTTAATTTAATATCAATAGTTAGCTAAATATATTTAAGCATGATTCTATTCTTAATTTTGAAATTAAAGTTTCCAATTAAATAAAATACATCATTGTGTTCTTACTGCGATGTAAAACATAGGCCCAATTTGAATAAAGCCTTGTATACCGAAACAATTCTTAAATACTGAGAAACTTTTTCTTTCAAAAACTGATTGAGAAGTCTAATAAGGAAATTTTGCTTCTGTTCAACTATTTATTATTTACTATGTTTCTTGACAGAGACCTCAATATTCTAATTAAATTGAACTTTGAGAAATGAAAGCTTTAAAATTGTTTAAAAATAATCAGCTGTGATAAAATCTAAAATTCCTTCCTAGAAAAAAAAAATTCAACTTTCCTGCCCTATAACTTCAACTAACAACATTCCTCATAAAAATTTCAAATATTTTAAGTTACCCTGGGAGAAGAACAATAAACAATTATAAAATCTATAGTAAGACAAAACACCTATACAGATACAATGCATAAATATACATATGATAAAATATACCATCATCTATCAAAGCTATTAATGAAGTAGACCTGTTAAGGACCATAACTCTTTAATATCACTGCTATGTTTTTATCAACCAATTTTCATTAATATATTCTAAGCTTCTCAGTAACTTATATTATTGTAATTCTGTTTCACAATGATGCTTACAAAGCACTTATGAAACTGTCTAGTATAAGCACATTACTGATATAAGAGTTACTTCCCTTAACCAAAGTTTACCCCCTTAAACATTCATAAACACAGATCTTGTTTTCTTATTTTACAACCATTCACTTAAAAGACTGCTGCAATATAACAATGTTAATAGAAGAAAAAAACAAGTAAAATAATATTCATAATTTGGTTTAAAATGGGAGACAGAAATTACATTAAAATTCATACTGCAACTGATTGAAAGGTCATTCAAAATAAAGTTATCAATAATAGGAAACAAATTTCTGTACAAATGCCAAATCCTCATAGAATGAACAAATTCAAAGAAATTTGAGCACATTCAATAACAAATTCATAAAATATCCATTAAAACACCTCATACGATAGAAATTTTCTAATAAACCATCTAATATGAAGCCCTAATGAGTTTCTGGAAATATTTCATATATCATTTTCATAAAAAACCAATTACTTATTTTCATAACATTAGTCAATACCAAATATACAATACTTCAAAACAAAAAAATCAATATTCAGAATACTTTTATGTCTGGAAGAAAAAAGCCGAACCAATCAATGTTGCAGAGAATCAAATGACTTAAAGCAAAATGAAAAAAAAAAAACGATATAAAAATTAGGAAACATCTATGAATCATAGTGTTTGTGATTTCTCCTCTACTCAACAGAAGTAGAATCATTTATATCACAAAAAAACTGTAAAGTGTGAATTTTTCGTTCAGGTTTCATTTTTGCCATAAAAGTAAAATCACAAAAATAAAATACCCTTCATGTAAATTTAATCTTTAAGGACTATCATATTCAGCGACAATAAAAACCATACATAAAGCCTAATGAACAAGTCTGGCTACTGTAAATTCAGAAATTATTGTGTACATTTATTACTGAGATAGTTGGACAATTGACACAAACACGAGTTTAATAACTGTGATTTCAGGAATGCTGCATACAATTATTGCCATCAAAATTTAAAATGCAAGTTTTAATTTTTGTGACGCCCGTCTGGTTGCATTAGCAATACTAAATACATTGCAAAAATTTCTGAATTAACAGTATTAATAAAACTCAAATGCTGCAAAAACCCCACTTTACAGAACACTACAATCCAGACTTTACAAAACAATCACTTGAGTATTATATGAGTTGGGTGGTGCTTCAATTGAGATTATGGTATTTTGTGATTAAAGATGTTTTCTTATACAAAAAATATTTACCAAACATTTTAAATATCTTTTTACAGATTTTATTTTTTGGATTTTTTTTAGAGTTTTTTATCTTCTTTTTTAAAATATACATGTAAAAATTCAAAGACGACTAAAAAAGACTTTCAACAAATCAAAATTATATTTGAACAAGACTTGAAATAGAAAAAAAATTAAAGATCTTTTGACAGCAAACAATTATTTATATGTTACAAAAATTATATTCAAATGAGTTAAATTAAAATTAACATGTTAATTGAATACAATAATGACACTTAAACCCTGTAAAACTGCATATAACATGCACAACATTAGGTTTGTAAATAACAAAAATATCATGCCCCATGCATATTCCTCTTATCTGAACAATAATTGTATGTAACAATAAAATGCTCCGCAGGGCGCAGCTTGATACGACCGCAGAGGTCGAACCCTGAACAGTTGGGGCAAGTATGGACACAACATTCAAGCTTGATACAGCTTTGCATTTGGATTGTGATTAAATATTTGACACAGCATAGGTTTCTGACACAGAATGAATGTGGTCTAAGAACTTAAAAATTTTAAATTGGACATTCACCTATTATGGTCCAATATCCAAAATCTAAATACATGGTTAGATTCAGCATATCAAAGAACCCCAAGAATTCAATTTTTGATGAAATCAAACAAAGTTTAATTTTGGACCCTTTTGACCTCAATGTGGACAAAGTTGATAACGGGGCCACAAAAACAAAAATCTAAATACATGGTTAGATTCAGCATATCAAAGAACCCCATATATTCAATTTTTGTTGAAATCAAACAAAGTTTAATTTTGGACCCCGATTTGGACCAACTTGAAAACTGGGCCCATAATCAAAAATCTAAATACATGTTTAGATTCAGCATATCAAAGAACCCTAAGAATTCAATTTTTGTTAAAATCAAACTAGGTTTAATTTTGGACCCTTTGGACCTAAATGTAGACCAATTTGAAAACGGAACCAAAAATTAAGAATCTAAATACACGGTTAGATTCGGCATATCAAAGAACCCCAATAATTCAATTTTTGATGAAATCAAACAAAGTTTAATTTTGGACCCTTTGGACCTCAATGTGGACCAATTTAAAAACGGGGCCCAAAATCCAAAAACTAAATACACGGTTAGATTCAGCATATTAAAGAACCCCAAGAATTCAAGAATAAAATCCCATTGAAATTGGTCAAGAAATAAGCAATTTATACGAAGTATCTTCTTTCGCACAATACTGTGCAATTAAATATTTCTTGCTATTGCGCAATACTGTACAATTGACAATTTCTTGCTATTGTGCAATATTGTGCTATTGGATATTTCTTGCTATTGCGCAATACTGTGCAATTGAAATTTCTTGCTATTGCACAATACTTATTATATAATAATTTACACATCCTGTTTGGTGTGTATCTCCTACCATATCATTATTATTTGCTTTTAAATATAAATCAGAAATAACCAACTTAAAATGGAAAATTTTAAAAGAAAAAAAAAAGGAAAAAAAAAAATCCCCCCCCCCCCCCCCAAATTTTTTGAACCCCCTTATGATTCATCACCCCAAACTCAATCCCAGCCTTCCCTTTGTGGTATGGTATCTTGCAGTACAATTTCAGAGAGATCCATACACTTACACACAAGTTATTGTGCTGAAACTAGAAAAATGCTTGTTTTTTGCCCCTTTTTTGGCCCCTAATTCCTTTACTGTTGGTACCATAACCCCCAAAATCAATCCCAACCTTCCTTTTGTGGTATTGAACCTTGTGGTAAAATTTCATAGAGATCCATTCACTTAAACTAAAGTTAGAGTGCGAAAACCAATGTGTCTTCGGACGACGCCAGACGACGACGCCAACGTCATACCAATATACGACCACAAAAATTTTTTTGCGGTCGTATAAAAACATCAGAATTTGCTCTTTCAGCTTTTATTAAGAGATTCATTTCATGCAGACTTAAAAAAAAAAAAAGAAATCCTAAAAAATATTCGACTGCATAATTACTTAGAATAAGTTAATCAAAAATACACATAAAATCATATAGCAATGTCATGGTACTTTTAGGTAAAATTTGTTTCCTGTAACCAATAAAAACATTGAATACATAAAAATAAAACATCTCGTTCAACTGTAAATATAAATATTATATGAAGGTTAATTTTAAGACAATACTTATAGAACTAAGGTTATCAATGATATCAGCACCCTGTAAATAAAGTCAGATCTCAATGGTCAAATTGTTTCATGGCATTGGTCAACATATAGCTTACCAATTAACTCAAATGTTTGACATCACCCAGCTACTTAAATGAAGTTTTAAAATCAATATGATGAATGAAGAAAAGGACATGTAAAATGAATGAAACTTGATAATGAAATGCATTTAAAATCAATACCAAACCATAAATGTCTTTCGAAAAAAAAGACATAATTGACTTGTTTCAAGGTAATAGAAATTTACCAGTGTGTGATGTTGGTTGATTAACAAAACACACATTCTTTTTCAATATAAACAATGAAGTTAACTGGGGTAGATATCAATATGTGTCACACAACAGATAATACAGACTTCAGGACACATGATTCAAAATAACCTTAGTTCTAAAACTATACCTTATTTCTTGATTTACTATAAAAAATAAAATATTCTTATCTCAACTTAAAGAGAAAGATGTGACTACAGAAAAATAAGTTGACTTTGTAAATCATATACAAAAAAATAAAACTCTATGTCTGTAAGTTTTAAGGTGGGGAATCTGTCTTTAGATTTAGTCGTCTTTTCCGATGTTTCTACAGAAGCAGCAGGCCCAAACAATGCTGAAGATCTGTAAAATAAATGATAACAGTGAGTTCCAATTAATTAGATATAAGAAGATGTGGTATGAGTGCCAATGAGACAACTCTCCATCCAAGTCAAAATTATAAAAGTAAACCATTATAGGTCACAGTACGGTCTTCAACACGGAGCCTTGGCTCTCACCGAACAGTAAGCTATAAAGGGCCCCAAAAAATTACTAGTGTCAAACCATTCAAACAGGAAAACCAACGGTCTAATCTATATAAAAAACAAGAAACGAGAAACACTTATGAACCACATCATTGCATATACTGTGGATTTATTATTATTCGTTGGATACTAATTTTCTTGGTTTTCTTTGCTACAGGTGGACCATGAATTTAAATATTCAACTAATCACAAATTTGCTATTGAGTTCTATACAGACTTTGACAAAACCCAGAATTTCAAATATCCACGAAGATTTCCTCAATCCAAGAAAATTGATACCCACAAAAACTAGAGGCTCCAAGGAGCCTGTGTCACTCACCTGATATTTTTATTTACAATTGATGCATGAAATAATGCAATCGTTATACTTTTGCTTTAGTTTCAGAGATATAAGTAAAATAAAATGCTTCGCTGAGCGCAGCCTGATAGACCGCAGAGGTCAAACCCTGAACAGTTTGGGTCAAATTTGGACAAAATATTCAAGCTTGATACTATCTGAATTTGGATTGTGATAAAATTTTTGACATAATATAGGTTTCTGACACAAAATAAATGTGGTAAAAAATCTTACAAATCTAATGTGCAATACTGTGCAATTGAAGATTTCTTCTTGAAACTTTTCAAAAATTTGAAATTCGAAAAATTTGGTAAAAAAAATATGAACCCCTTAAAAAAAATTGGCCCCCCCGCCAAACTTTTAAAATCTCCCTTGTTTCTGCCCCTTTTTTGCCCCTAATTCCTAAACAGATTGAGCCATAACCCCCTAACGCCAATCCTAACCATCCTTTTGTGGTGTGGAAACTTGTGGTACAATTTCAGACAATTCCATACACTGTTCCACAAGTTATTGTCTGGACACTATAAAAATGCTTATTTGGGCCCCTTTTTTACCCTTAATTCCTAAACCATAGGGACCATAACCCCCAAAATCGATCCCAACCTTCCTTTTGTGGTTTCAAACCTTGTGTTTAAATTTCATAGATTTATATTTACTTATACTAAAGTTATTGGCAAATTTCCAATTGAGTTTATTATACTAAAGTTATTGGCAAATTTCCAATGGAGTTTATTATACTAAAGTTATTGGCAAATTTCCAATGGAATTTATTAATACTAAAGTTATTGGAAAATTTCCAATATACATAAATTAAAAGCAGTGTAAGTGAGGTAATACAAATATGTGAAAAATTGTTAAATTTGACTTTAAAGGGCAATAACTCCTTATGGGGTCAATTGACCATTTTGGTCATGTTGACCTATTTGTAGATCTAACTGTGCTGAACACTATTGCTGTTTACAGTTTATCTCTATCTATAATAATATTCAAGATAATAACCAATAAAATGCTTCGCTGAGCGCAGCTGGATACGACCGCAGAGGTCCAACCCTGAACAGTTGGGGCGAAAATAGACACAATATTCGCGCTTGATACAGGTCTGAATTTGGATTGTAATTAAATATTTGACACATAATAGGTTTCTGACACAGAATAACTGTAGTCAAAGAACTAAAAATTGGTAATATGATTTGAATTTATATTCAATTTTTTGCTTTTGTGCAATACACTATGCTGTTGTGAATTGTAATTTTTTTTGCGGTCGTATAAAAACACATAACTGGTTTCATGATATGTCTTCAACTTAGTACTCTGCACCATCTCCAAAACCAGAGTGATCGCATAGATCAAGCATGGCTGAATCAAAAATCTAGTAAGAGTGCTTACAATACTGGCTAGATGACGGGACATCCAAGTTATTTCTATGTCCCCACTTCCGGAAGCTTTTCACGTGAGAAAGATAAAATGATTGGTAAATTGTAAAGAATTCATTCTTACCTCAAGAACAGCAATACCAATACCAACGCCAATGATAATTGTACTGTGTTTCAGGGCCCAATCCTTCAAACTGTCCTTACATCCTTTCTGTAATATATATAAAAGAACATCTTATTAAGTCTTGATCAACTTATAAAGGAAAACCAGATTCATTTGTCCTCCAACCCTCTTTTTAAGCTCATCTGGTCCTAAGAGTCAGTGTGTATGCTATTGACATCCATTAACTGTGTTCACAGTTTTGCAGTTTTTTTTTCCATTTTGAAATTAATGAGCAAACAAGTGCCAAACTTGCAAAATTAATCTTGAAAATTGTGAGTTCCCTAGGATACTCAATATGGTTGTCTTTACCATCAATAGACAAAGTAAACAAAAATTTAAAGAAGTAGTTTCAAATTACATGTGATTCCTGTAGCACCTGTGAGTGACTTGGCACCTAATCTATTTTTAGACAGCAAGCTAGTTTTACTTATTGCCATAATTAGCCCTATTTTATCTAAAATTTTGGGATTCAAGTATGCTGATAAAATATTGGTTAGTTAATACCATCTTACACAGGAACCTGTATTCTAGAGTAACTTCTGAAAGTGGTAAGGCCTATTCTAGATATAACACCAAGCAGAACAAGATTGAGATGAATTACTTTTTTCCAACCTCTATTCCATGTATTTAATTCTTTTTAAAGGTTTTTCCAGTAGAAACCAATTATCAGTACAAAAAATAAACAAAGAATTTGTGCATAGGACACAGATGCCCACACTTAAAAATATACAGCAAATTCAGTAAATTTTGCATTTATAAAGGGACATAACTTGAGAACAGTGAAAGTGACACCACCAAATTCTAATTGTGTGTGGTGGTAATAAGCACTGTGTATAAGTTTCATATCATTTGGTTGAGGCAAACTAAAGTAAGAGAACAGACACCAATTTCCAGATGGACATATATGAAACGTATGTAAGGCTGGAAAAGGGCAAACCTTAATGCCCTTTTTTGCCTAGTGACAGGGGCATAAAAACCCATTAATTTGTCAGGTAGAATACCCAATAGATTGCAAGTATTTTGACAAAAGCCTATTAATATGATATATTGTTAAAAATGTTTTCATACCGTATTAATTTCGCTATTGTCACGAGCGTAGCATAGAGCTGAATTGCTAGGTGTAGCCTTTGATGGGTCATCTAAAGCAGCATCCCTGTTTGACAATTTACAACAAGTATTAGGAAAAGTCTGAAACAAGAAATATTGATATTTATGAATGTTAAAAGTTTTTAAGCATTTACAAAATACAATATATTTCAGTCAGCTTATTCATCAGGCTAAGGTGTTGTAGAAGTAATAATTATCATTTTAAGGGTATCTGTCGAACCAGTTTGAATCAGATAAATGTTTTATCATTTTTCATAGCCAATAAATTAATTATAATTTTCAAATATTTGTGAACTATGCATATACATTTTAAGTTCATTTATATGTTTCGGAGTTTAGAGTGACGTCCATTTTCACTGAACTAGTACACATTTTTGTGTATGGGCCAGTTGAAGCCTGCATCTTGGTACTGGATTTTCCCGCTGGGTTTAAGGCCCATTGCTAGCCTTGGGCTAATTTTGCTCTTTGGTCAAGTTGTTGTCTCTTTGACACATTCCCTATTTCCATTCTCAATTTTATAAATACTTGTATATTTTTCAAATTTTAAGCTATGAACAATTCAGAAAAAACAAGGTCAAGGATAATTTGCTAAGATTATACACACTATTTCGCATACTATATAATAAATTGGTAATGCATAAAAAATAAAAAAAACACTTTTTCATGCTCCTTTTTACTCATCATGCTCATATACAACCTATCATGTTAAAATACAAGTGTACACTGCATGTACTGTCAGATATGGTCCCAAATTGTACTTTTTTTTTGAAGAAAAGAATTAGTTAAAAGTTTTGAAATTTGACCCACTCACAAATTGAAGGACTTAATGTTAAGTTTGTTTTTCACCAAAAAATTAATGTTTTTCCTCTGTTAGACATGAAAAACAAGTGTTTTGCCTGTCAAATTACACGATTTGTATAAATTTCACAATAAACAAAGGGGGACCTTCCTTGTACATGTTGTATAGCTATAAACATGGCAAAATAATTTTTAAAAGTGTTAAATTATGAAATGACACTGAAGTGCTAGACAGACAGACAGACATATCGGTTCGTTTATAAATATCAGTGTTCTCCCCAGGGCCTTAAAGGACCGCGGGCCCGCGATGTATAATTTTTTACCATGGTGGTATCGTTCTTACCGCGATGTATAATTTTTTACCGTGGTGGTATCGTTCTTACCGCGATGTATTATATTTCTCCGTGGTGCTAAAATTTTTAGTTTAAAAAATCGAAAATCGGTAAAGTTTTAAACGACTTGTTAAATCTTTTCCGTGCAGTATAAAATTCCAGGTGAAATTTGACCAGTTCAAACCAGTTCAGATTGTTTACACCACGTGATCGATTTACCTTTATGAGGTTAACCTTTGTTGATTGGATTTAATCGATGTAATTAACACTTTTAAAATGATTTTAATTAAGAGATCATAACTTTATGATCGTAGATAACTAACCGTGTTGACCCGATAGTTGTACACACGACGGTACACATTTTGTACATTATAAAGTTGGCTCATTACGTATAATTGACCATTATACACTTCTCAATACTTATATAATAGTATTATATGTCTCTGATTAAACCATAGCCAAATTATCTTTAATTTTGACATAGTTTATATTGCATGATATTCCGGTTTCAAACTATCATAGTATCTGTCAACAAGTAATTCAAAGGGGCCGGATCACATGACTCAGTTAGTTCACATAGAATACCCAAGATTATTTACTATTAACTGCAATCTATTCTATTTTATAAATAAAATGCATGACTGTACCTTCAAACTGGATATCTATATCCATATGATAATTAATGAATAACAGAAGTGATTTGCAAATTTTATCCATAAGCACATGTTAAATCTATTTATATCTACTTCCTGTCATTTAGGCGGGAAAATAGGGAGACTTTGTTGTTGACATTGAATAGGGTTACTTATAGATCTATAGAACTAGGACAAATTTATAGATTTAGGAATTCTTTTTAAAAGGATCATGACAAAAAAAGATTTAGATTTCAGTGCAGTATTAAGTCTGTATCTATGTTTGATTATCACTAAAGACAAGAAAAGTTAATATTTACATGAAATCTAAGGCAAAATGTTTTGAAATTTATGAAAAATTTCTTTTTATTAAAATTTAAGATAGAAACTGGTTCAAATAATACAATATTTATTCTTGTTAATTTTATATCTCCTTATGACAGGAATCCTTTCACAATACAACATCTTTCATTCTAGAAATAAGAAATTTTTTAAAATAAATTGAACATTTTTGTTCTCTTTTGAACTGAGACTACTATAACACATATACATGTGTTATAGTAGTCTCAGTTTTGAATGATATTTTATTCTTATTGATCATAGATTTTATAAAAGATTTAATAACTTTAAATTTAGATGAATATTTTGTAATGTATCATGTTTCATTTATTTTTAAAAAATATTAAAGTATACATATCAAACTGTTTATTGATTTACTTTTTTTTTACCAATAATTTTCAATGTCTACATAATAACACAGTACCACAGCATTAAAACAAAACAGGAGACATAAAAACTACAGTTACTAGAAATATAGCTAAGCGACGCGACGCGACACAACTGATTGTATGAATTATTTCACCAAGCAGTCCACACGCTTTACCCTGGTGCTATCCAAAAATCCTGGGGAGAACACTGAATATGTTAGAAATTGTGCAGTGATTATAACCACACACATTTCTTTTATCTCTATTAGGACCATAATCTCTTATTAAAGCAATATTTTTCTATTTTTAATTTTTATAAATTCTTCAGTTTGCGCAACCAGATATTTATTCTGTGTAGAGGAGAGGCAATTCATACATTCTTTTTTGATAGTCATTGTTTTAAGAAATATTGTACATCTTCAAATCATTTTGGCAATTTTTTTTAGTCAATCTCACTCCAATTCTCCCTCCAAATCATTATCTTAATACTATTATTTGAGGACTCCTTCTTTGTTTATCTGGACTGCAAGATGATGCTGCACATGTTTTGTTTTCTGTTGTTTTCACGAAATGTTTTTTTAACATACCTGGCCTGCATTTGGGAATTTGTAAGTTGTCTCATTGTAATCCATAGAATTGACTGCTCCACAACACTCAAACTAAAAATAGATCAAACAAGCATATGTATTAATTATAGAATAACTAACCGAAGAATTCAAATAGAGAAAAATATTCAACGAGTGACCGAACAACACATTAATTCATGAATGCGTGTAGAGCATGAGTTAACAAGCATTCTGTGAGTATTGCATGGCAATACATATTCCCCTACCAGTTAAAAATTCATTGTAATGGAACGAAATTCTAACTTGATCTATAACTTGTCATGGTGTAAACTACATAAAATAATAAACAAACCTACCACTAAATTCTTCAAACAATTTACTAAAGAAAAGGAAAAAAATCCAATATGTCATTTATCTTAATACAATGTCTCATACAAATCTTTTAAAAAATGAGTTATTTCCCTTTGAACAGAAATCTAGTAATTAATAAGTATTTCTTCAAAAATTTAATTCTAGGGAAAGTTCAAAAATGAGTTATTTCCCTTTGAACAGAAATCTAGTAATTAATAAGCATAAATTTACGACAAAAGAGACGATTTTTCATTCCCTTTTGTTAATTTTTCCTTTTTTAGACGGCGATGTTCCTTTGGCTCCATCATACGGTGTTTATATATCCCAACTCGTTCCTTATGCCCGTGTGTGTAGTGATGTCATAGATTTTAACGAACGTAATCAATGCATCACTGGTAAATTATTAAGTCAGGGATTTTGTACCATAAATTACTTAAAACTTTTACTAAATTCTTTCATAGATACAAAGATTTGATTAGTAAATTTGGCTGTACCTGTATAAAACTTATTAAAAACGGTATTTCACATCCTAAATTTTACAGTAATATTGTACTAAAAGCGCAGAAATCACTATGTGATCCGTGTAAACTCATAGACCCTTTAAACAAACTTATTAGTAAAGGTTATCTTACCAATGTTGTAATTAGATTTGATTTGATTTTCTGTGTTTTAACGCCACTTTTAAGCACCCCTTTTGGGCTATTTCGTGGCGGCCAGTTTTTATTGGTGGAGGAAGCCGGAGTGCCCGGAGAAAACCACCGACCTTCAATAGGAAAACTGACAGTCCTAGTCATAGATCAAATTTATTGGCTCATTGTGTGTTAATTTGTGTTACTACGTTTTTTGATTGAGTTAAGCCATTCCAATTGATATTTTATAGTGTGTCTTTCTATGTTGTGATGTTACACTATTGTTTCAGATAAGGGAGAAGATTTGGTACCATTAAAACGTTTAATCCCATTGCAATTGTTTGCACCTGTCCTAAGTCAGGAATCTGATGTTCAGTAGTTGTCATTTGTTTATGTGGTTCATAAGTTTTTCTCGTTTCTCGTTTTTTATGTAGATTAGACCGTTTGTTTTCCAGTTTGAATGGTTTTACACTAGTATTTTTTTGGGGCCCTTTATAACTTGCTGTTCGGTGTGAGCCAAGGCTCCTTGTTGAAGACTCAACCTTGACCTTTAATGGTTTACTTTTATAAATTGTGACTTAGATGGAGAGTTGTCTCATTGGCACTCATACCACATCTTCCTATATCTATGAAGAAAAAGTCTGGAAAACTGATCGTCCGGACTGAAGGATGGACAGACGGACAGAGTGCAAACCTAAAGTCCCCTTTGACTTCGTCAGTAGGGGACTAATTATCAGTGTTGTTCGGTCACAAGTTGAATATTTTTCCATATTTGAATTCTTTGATTAGTTATTCTTTTTTTTACATTGGCATATGGCTTATTTTATTGAAATTAAAGTAGAAAATATATGGAACTATATCTTTTTCTATGCATTCACAATTTGTTTTGATCCGATGTTATCGACGTCTTGACAACACCTATTGTTGTATGATGTCAGAGGAGTGAAATAACCACGTTTATTTCACATGTGAAATTATCGGGTTTTATTTCACTGGGAAATCTATGTAATTTATGCAACCAATGTAATAAAACAATATATAGCATTTAGTAGTTTTTTAATAAAATAAAATTAAAAACTAATAACCATCCTGATTCAAATAATAAAAGATAGTCACTTTATGAGGGTAAAATATTAATTTAACCCCTTAATCTATACAAGCAGATTTATATGATTCAATGAATAAGACTATTTCAGAATACCCATGGTTAGCATATAGCTTTTCAACTGTTTTGGTTTTTATAAATCCTCAGCTTTCATATATTTCCATTTGATGAAGGTAAATCCCCAAAAAGCACTTGGTGCGCATAAAATTTGTATAGTGTTGGGTTTTTTTTAAATATTTTTTTTTAAAGGTCATATGCTAAGATCAAACTAAAAAATCTCATAAGGTAAATCACGAAAGTTTTTTTTTTATTTGCATGTATCGAAAATGCATATTGACTTGGTGTCGAAATTTTAAAAACAAAATGATCTTTTGTGTACCATATAACCAGACGACTATTCTCCACAGGGACTTTAAGCATTATGGTAATGTGATGCTATATTTCTTGAATGTGATGCTATCTGAATTGTTTTTTTTATAGATTATATTATGGATGTGGTGCAACAGTTTTTAGAAACAAGATGGTTTTTCAAATTTCCCTGTTTAGCAAGGTATTAAATGAAATATCTTGGGAGAACCCTGATGTAACCCATAGAGATCTCAGCCTGAAGTCCTCACCTCCAACTGAGCCAAGTCCCATCCTGTCCTTACAGTCTCTTCACCATACCTCTTCTTTATATTTTCCTGTAACAGCTTAACAATATTGTCCTCTACCTGAAAATGAAAAAAAAATTGTTTTTAAATGTATTCATGTATCTCGCTGTATGGAAGACCCATTAATGGCCTAGGCCAGCTTTCTGCTCTTTGGTCGTGTTGATGTCTCTTCAACACATTCCACATTTCCATTCCCAATTTTATGTATATATACTTATAATTTGTTTTGCATTTATATTGTTTCTGAATACTTATCTTCATAACTGAATGCACCTATATATTCAGTATTTACATGTAGGATTTTCTGACAATAAAGTATACCCAAACTTTTCATTCCTCTTTTTTGTCCTCTTGATGGTTAATTGATGCAAACACTTTAAAAAAAATAGATGTGTCGAAAAACACTGTGTATGATCCAGTGTTCTCCCCAGGCCGTTTTAGCGTCTCGGCACCGAGACGCTATATTTTTCCCCCGTGATGCTATAATAATTTCCGCGACGCTATAATTATTTTGAGGATGCTATTTTTCTTGTCCGCAAAACCATGTCCTAAATTTTGAACTTTCATCTAATTACCGCTTGTGATCATAAAATTATATCACCTTTAATTGTAATCCCTTAAAGTCTGACAATAGAGGCAATTTAGAGTGATTAAATAGGTGTTAATTGCCCTTTGGGTGATAACTGTTTGGAAACAAATACCCCAAGCTGACACTTATGACATGACTAATACCAAGTGGTCCAATCGCAAATTTCGACATTGAGAAAATGTAATCTGAAAATCATAAACAATTGAAAATCTACGTTTGCATAATGTAAATTCAAAGATACAAAAGATTTATCTCTTTAGAAAAGAGGTTTGGTGGTTTGTTTTTACAACTTTCAAATAAAATGCTCCGCAGGGCACAGCTTGATACGACCGCAGAGGTCGAACCCTGAACAGTTGGGGCAAGTATGGACACAACATTCAAGCTTGATACAGCACTGAATTTGGATTGTGATTAAATATTTGACACAGCATAGGTTTCTGACACAGAATGAATGTGGTCCAAGAACTTAAAAATCTTTAATTTTCCTATTCAAACCATATCATTATTATTTGCTTTTATATATAAATCAGAAATAACCAATTTAAAATGGAAAATTAAAAAAAAAAAAAATCCCTCCCCCAAATTTTTTGAACCCCCTTATGATTCATCACCCCCAAACTAATCCCAGCCTTCCCTTTGTGGTACCTTGCAGTACAATTTCAGAGAGATCCATACACTTGAATACAAGTTATTGTCTGGATTCTAGAAAAATGCTTGTTTTTAGGCCCCTTTTTGGCCCCTAATTCCTAAACGTTTAGGGCAATTACCCCCAAACTCAAACCCAGCTTTCCCTTTGTGACATGGAACCTTGTAGTACAATTTCATAAAGATCCATACACTTACACACAAGTTATTGTCCTGAAACTAGAAAAATGCTTGTTTTTTGCCCCTTTTTGGCCCCTAATTCCTAAAATTTTGAGGCAATTACCCCCAAAATCAATCCCAGCCTTCCCTTTGTGGTATGGTACCTTGCAGTACAATTTCAGAGAGATCCATACACTTGAACACAAGTTATTGTCTGGAAACTAGAAAAATGCTTATTTTTGGCGCCTTTTTGGCCCCTTATACCTGAACCTTTTGGGCAATTACCCCCAAACTCAATTTCAGTTTTCCCTTTGTGATATGGAACCTTGAAGTACAATTTCAGAAAGATCCATACACTTACACACAAGTTATTATCATGAAACTAGAAAAATGCTTGTTTTTTGCCCCTTTTTTGGCCCCTAATTCCTAAAATTTTGAGGCAATTACCCCCAAAATCAATCCCAGCATTCCCTTTGTGATATGGAATCTTGTGGTACAATGTCAGAGAGATCCATACACTAACACACAAGTTATGTCTGGAAGTTACAAAAATGCTTATTTTTGGCCCCTAATTCCTTAACTGTTGGTACCATAACCCCCAAAATCAATCCCAACCTTCCTTTTGTGGTATTGAACCTTATGGCAAAATTTCATAGAGATCCATTCACTTAAACTAAAGTTAGATTGCGAAAACCAATGTGTCTTCGGATGACGTCGACGACGCCAACGTCATACCAATATAAGACCGCAAAATTTTGGCGGTAGTATAAAAATTATTTTCTTTCCCTTCCGGTACTACTTGTTAATCGAGAGCGTATATTAAACATTTTGATTTTGAGCTAAATAAGTTTGATACTTCTTTAGAAAGTGATCAGAATTGGCTTTAGTTAATGTTTCATCCATTTAATGCATTAAAAGCGTCATATTCATTCCCAATCTCTTGTCAAACATTGTTTATTTTCGTTAATTTTTTTTCAGCTGCCATTGAAATATCAGTGTAAACTACGGATCGGAACCGGACCAGATATGACAAAAATCCGCATTTTTACGATAATAACTACAGATGCACAAATGGCACAGTAGACAGAAAAAATGACCCCAAAAGAGAAAACTACGCATTCCACACCCATTAACAGACTATTTGTTAGATCTCCTTGCTAAATGTATTCATTTTGGAAATGCATTGTTTCAATATACTGATTAAACTTTGTTAAAAATACATATCATTTTGATATAAAGAAACAACTGGGACTAATACATTGAGTACCAAGAAATAATGAATTTCATAGACAATATAAAGAAAATAGATTTTTAATTGAAATTTTATTGCTATATGATACTTTCTCTTCCTTTTTTATATAAAAACCAGTTTTTTTTTTTTTTTTTACTAGATATTTAGTTGGGTAGGTAGGGTACAATGTAACTGGAACCACACATATATCTTTATTTGGCCCAAGAGGAAAAAAATAATTCTTTTTACTATAAATTAATATAGAAAACATAAACTGAAACAACTGTTATAGTTTAATTGTATTCTCAGTTATCAATTAAACAATATAAATAAAACAAAAAGGAAATAGAGCATCGCCGCAACGCGACAAATGACATTGAAAAAAATACAAGTTTATTTTTTTTACGCCAAATGTGATGCTATCCAAAATTTCTCGGGAGAACACTGTGATCACAATAGATCAGGAATCAATTTTTTTTGCATGTGTTAAATTTTTGTGGTATACACATGTAACCACAAAAAATTACCATTATTGATCCCTTTTCAAAAATATTCAAACAAAATTCAAATTTCAAGGACAATTTCGAATTTGTATAACTCCTATATAAAATATACACAAACATTTCACAAGTCATTTAAATGCACATTGTTTTAATTTCTGTGTCATTTGGTATTTTGTGCAGAGTTGTCTCTAAATCTCTAGCAAACAAAACATAATAATATTTCTGTTACAAACAGAACAATCACTTATCCATAAAAGACAAAATAGCACATGAATGGCAACTTGTATTACTGTAAATTCAATAAAATGCTTCGCTGGGCGCAGCTTGATACGACCGCAGAGGTCGAACCCTGAACAGTTGGGGCAAGTATGGACACAACATTCAAGCTTGATACAGCTCTGAATTTGGATTGTGATTAAATATTTGACACAGCATAGGTTTCTGACACAGAAAGAATGTGGTCTAAGAACTTCAATCTTTTTAATTTACCTATTATGGTCCAATGTCCAAAATCAAAATACATGGTTAGATTCAGCATATCAAAGAACCTCATATATTCAATTTTTGTTGAAATCAAACAAAGTTTAATTTTGGACCCCAATTTGGACCAACTTGAAAACTGGGCCCATAATCAAAAATCTAAATACATGTTTAGATTCAGCATATCAAAGAACCCCATATATTCAATTTTTGTTGAAATCAAACAAAGTTTAAATACTGGACCCTATCTTGAACCAACTTGAAAACTGGGCCCATAATCAAAAATCTAAACACATGTTTAGATTCAGCATATCAAAGAACCACAAGAATTCAATTTTTGTTAAAATCAAACTAAGTTTAATTTTGGACCCTTTGGACCTTAATGTAGACCAATTTAAAATACAGGACCCAAAATTAAAAATCTAAATACACGGTTAGATTTGGAATATCAAAGAACCCCAATAATTCAATTTTAGATGAAATCAAACAAAGTTTAATTTTGGACCCTTTTGACCTCAATATGAACCAATTTGATAACGGGGTCCACAAATAAAAAATCTAAATACATGGTTAGATTCAGCATATCAAAGAACCCCATATATTCAATTTTTGTTGAAATCAAACAAAGTTTAATTTTGGGCCCCATTTTGGACCAACTTGAAAACTGGGCCAAAAATCAAAAATCTAAATACATGTTTAGATTCAGCATATCAAAGAACCTCATATATTCAATTTTTGCTAAAATCAAACAAAATTTAATTTTGGACCCTTTGGACCTTAATGTAGACCAATTTGAAAACTGGACCCAAAATTAAAAATCTAAATACACTGTTAGATTCGGCATAACAAATAAATAAATGTGATCAAAGATTTTACAAATCTAATGCGCTATACTGTGCAATTAAAGATTACTTCTTGAAATTTTTCAATATTTGAAATTTGAAAAAAAAATAATATTTGAAGAATAATTCTTTTTAATTTCTGAAATCTGAAATGAGAAAAAATTGACCCCCCACAATTTCTTTTTATCCCCCCCCCTTTTTTCCCCCAAAAAATTCTTTCCCTCAAGATATGGTCATAATCTCAATTCAAATTTCCAATGGAGTTGGCAACCATAATTACCCATTCAAATTTACCATAGTGCTAACTTAATCTATTTTATAATAGAATTAAAAATATAGTGTCAAATCTTTCATATGGATTTTTTTGTAAAAAAAAAGATGCAACATTTGCAGATATTTTTACTGGTCTTCCTTTATAAATATGCATTTCTTTAAACATAATTTAAAAGCAGTGTAAGGGAAGTAACCAAAACGTTGTATTTGGATTACCTCCCTTACACTGTTTTAAATTATCTTTATTGTTCATTAACCATTACTTTATACATAATTTAAAAGCAGTGTAAGGGAGATAATTTCAATGATGTATTTGATTTATCTCCCTTACACTGCTT